TTTTGAGACAGAGTCTCGCTCTGTCACCAGGCTGGAGTGCATTGGCTCAATCTTGGCTCACTGCAATCTCCACTTCCTGGGTTTGAGCCATTCTCCTACTTCAGCCTCCAGAGTAGCTTGGATTACAGGTGTGCGCCACCACGCCCAACTAATTTTTGTATTTTTAGTAGAGACAGAGTTTCACCATGTTGGCCAGGATGGTCTCGATCTCTTGACCTCATGATCCACCTGCCTCAGCCTCCCAAAGTGCTGGGATGACAGGCATGAGCCATCATGCTTGGTGTCTAGTATTTTACACTAGAAAATTAAAAGGAAAAATATCCCTAGGTTTTTTGTGTTCAGATGTGTATGAAAAATCTATTAATATCTGGCAAAGCACCATTTAGGAGCTTTGCCCAGCCATTTCATCGCATCTTACTCTGAGTAGAGTAATAGGAAAACAAAAGTTTTTCTTAAATAAAATTTTGTGACAATCAATGCATTGTCAGATCTGTGCATGGATGTGTACATAGCATTTCTCAAGAGCTACATCACATTAATGTGCGTTTTTCATTTAGTGACCATTACTCTATGTTATGTCCCTTGCCTTTTAATGTTTGTGATATTATTCAATTTTTAATGTAAATATTATGCCTAACCAACTAGTCCTCCATGGGTGTGTGGCTGAGGGAAGATCTTGGTCATAAAGACTCATCTCTGCTCCCTCCCCATCACCTTCACAGGTTCACCCTCCGCTACATCGGTCCATCAGATGAACCCTAAGTCCTCTATTTTCACTCTCTACTTTCCTCCTAGGCAACTTCATCCTAATCTTTGGTTACCATTCAGTCTAGACCTCCCATCTGAGCTCCTGAGCTGTTTACTCACGGTTCCTCACTCCCATCATAACTACTCTTGAATTTCTCAAAAGGACCTCAAACTCGTCACGTGCATAACCAACTCATGATTCTTCCCTGCTCCTCTCCCAGTGGTCCTTCTCAAGAAGTAGGAACATCCATTTGGCTGCATACCCAGAAACATGGAAGCATCCCTAACACGGTCCTTTCCCCCACCTCCTTCCTTCCTTTAAATCCTGTTGATTTTATTTCCTCTTAAAGAATCTGCCCTTCCCCATCTCTGCCACCATCTTCAACCCAGTAATCACCACTGGCTTCCCGCATTCACTCAGTCCCCATCAGTCTGTTATCTACATTGTAACCAGAGTGATCTTTACACATTGTAAACCTGATCACATTCTTCTCACCAGTTTTTTAAAAGTAAAAACAAAAACCTTCTAACCAAGGTGAGCTTAGATACAGCCCTTCCCTTTGGGAGAAAGTGAGTCCCCAGTCCTCATCCAAGCAACCCAGATGGAACCTCCAGGGTACTTTTGGCCAATCCTGACTGCAGCAGCATCACTGTTATTATAATGTACCTGTATTACAATGTCATGTAACAGATAATGTATCTGTTTGCTTACTTAATTGTAATAGAAAACGCTAATTGAGGCTTCACGGGAGTCAAGCCCTGTCTACCGGCTTTAAGTGTCTTATTTCATCTTCACAGCACTCTATAGTGTAAGTTCAACCGTTCACTTGAAGACTAGAGAGGTTACATAATTTGTTCCAGGTCATGTGCCTTGTAAGTGATGTAGTCTGGAATGTTCTGAAACCAAATAATCTGACTCCAGAGTCCTTACTTAGTTGCCTACTCTGCTAAAATGCCTTTTCACATTTGGACTCCCCACCAAATCAAAGAACCCTTCAGAAGAGGGTCTTTGTTCTCCTCACATTTGATATTTGAGTGCCTATTTGTGCAGGTATTTGTGCCAAGTGCTGAGCGAAGAGTTATAAAATAAGACAGTGTCTTTGCCATTACAGAACTTAAAAACAGTAGGAAGAGGCAGACGTTAAATAGAAAGCATACATAATTACCTGACTTCATTGTGACCAAAACTATAAGGGGGAAGGCAGGAGCTGTTCTTAGAGTGACTGAAAAACGATCCAGCCCAGACTCGGGGAGCCAAGAGAAAGGCTGAGACCCGACTCAAAAGCGAGCTTTGGCCGCGTGAGAAATGGCAGGAAGGAGCCTGCTGGCGCGCGTCCGACTCCTGAGCCTGCAGCCCGGCACAGGACGCGCTGGGTAAGTGCCTGAGGAGTCAGCTGACCGAAAAGGCGGGTGGCTGAATGGGCAAACGGATGGCGGGACTGACACACCGAGCGGCGGGCGGAACCCCAGGTACAGGCAACGCCCGGCCTGTGGCCGAGGGGTCGAAGAAAGGCGGCCGCGGAGGCCGGACGCGGGACAGTGGCAGTTTGGGAAGCACCCGGGACTGCCCTACTGGACCGCCCCACTCACTTTCGCTCTACCCGCTGAGGGCACCCACCCCGTTGAGAAACACAACACACTTGGCCGCCCGCGCGCCGGAAGTGGGCGCAGGCGCGCCCCTCTAGCAGGCCGGAGGACCGCAGCTCTGTGGCGGGCGCCGGTAGCGAGGAAGGGCGCGGATGCGGCTTAGACCTGGCGGGGCCATCCCAGAGTCCAAACGGTTGATTCGCGGCTGAAAGGGCGGAGAGCAGAAGATACATATTAAATGTCATTATATATTCGATATATATTTTAATATATAAAAATAATGCGTATATATTCAAACATATTTTTCCTCCTTCTGTCGCAGGCTAGTATAGCATTGAGAAAATAAAAGCCGATAATCCTAGGTCTACATTTTGAGTGGAAAAGAAGCTGACCACGCTCACCGCAGACGTGCTGACGGCGATGACTACAGTCCTAAGAGCTGCGGGAGGGCTGGAGCGGGGACGGGTCCTGTCCTGGAAGGCCGAGGACGCCAGGCGCTGCTGAGGGGTCGGAGTGGAGTGCTGGGCGAGAGAAGCTTGTAAGAATTTCCTCAGGGATTCTGCCCTCGAGCTGCGCCTGGCCGCGTGCTGGATGCTGACGCAGGAGGAGAAGCGCCACGGGTTTCCCGCGTAGGAAGCGGCAGGATCCAGGGCACAGCGGACCGGGGTTCAGGGCACTCGGAATTGGCCCAGCATCTTGGCTGGCCAGAAACTAGGCTAAGGCGTTGCTTAGAGTGAGTTAGGTTGTGGAGAGTGTCGAATACCAGGCTCAGGTGTTAGAAATGCATTGAATCATCAGTGCAGGCTATTCACGTGTAATATGGCTAGAACAGTGTTCAGGGCAGTGTCTATACCGTATAGAGTGGATTAAAGGGCCAAAGAGATGAAAGAATACAGGTGACTAGAATACGTGAATCTAGCAAAATGTAATATAATCTGTGAAAATATGATTAAAAATAGGGCTGACATTGTACTAAAATCTGTGAAAATGTGATTGAAAAAGGGATGATATCGCCATGGGAGGTCTTTTGGAAAATAAACGGGATTGTGAAATACCGTTTTGGAATAGGCGGAGGAAAAGGAGTTAGAAGAGGAGCTGCTCAGGGAGCGCCCAGATGGTTCAAACATCATAAAAGCTACGGTGTTTCAGGAGAGGGAACAGGTGACTAGCAGATGCTGCAGAGAGCCAAAAGAGGGTAAGAACTAAGGTGATGCTGGAATTAGGGGGAATGGCAGGAGGACAAGAGAGAGACGTTACCTGTGGACAGTCCTTTCCAGTGGTTCAGAAGAGTTGGTAGACTGAAAATAGAAATAATCTCTTTTGAGAATTGTGATACTGCAGGAAAGGAAAAAGGATACTGATTGAACTAAGCAAAAGAATTGAAAGTATTTTTTTTTAAAAGGGTAGTGGAGGCCTAATTAAATTTGTAGAAAAAAGGGTAAAGTTTAATAGGGACAAGAAATTGAAGATGGGAGAAAAGAGAGCCAGCTGATGGGGAGGGAATGAGACAAGATAGGCTCGTGAAGTTGTCTCAGAAAAGAAGGGAGAGATTTGTTCCTGAATAGGAGGAAAATGGAGGGTGAGTGAAGACAGAAATACTGCAAGAGAGAAGTTGAAGGTGTTTATGTCAGATGACTCTGACCACAAAGGTGTTAATCAGAAGATGTTACAACCAATGACTGAAAGAGACAACTAGGTATTTCAAGTTATGTTCTGTATCTACTATCAATATAGAAGCCATTAACCACATATGGCTATGTGTAGAAAACAGCCTGTTTTCTACATGGCATGACAAGAGTAATGCCATCTTGAAGTGAAACCATCATAACGACCAGTGTTTCACTCTTGTATACCAAGGCATTCCCCCAGCAAGGTCAAGAAACAATGCCTCTAGGATAGATAACCTCTCAAAAAGAAACAATACCTGTGGCATACAAAACCCCTCATAAAAATGCTTATCTAACTTTCTCACTGGTCAGAGTTTTGCAAGAGGATCTCAGACATAACCAGCTGCTCATGTTTTACCAAAAAAAAAGCTTGCTATAGGAAGAATACTTTCTGCAAGGCAGGTATGGAGATCCATCATCTTAAGTCCCTACTAAATGTTTCTTTCTGAGAAGCTACATTTGTCTGTTCAGCTACCTAAACCCTTAGGGGCAGGTTTACATATACTTGCTTACTTGATATATGGCTGATAGGAACTGAGGAAGTAAAATTTTCATTTCATTGAATTTTAATTAATTTACATTTAAATTGCCACATGGGATTAGTGGTTCCATAGTGGACAGTGAAGCTAGCCTATACTGGTTAAAAACCCAATGAGTGAAATGAACAAAGTAAACACAGCAGATTTCTAATGAAGCAGATCAAATAATGAGTGGCCAAAAAAAAAAAAAGACTACAAAGTTGTTTTCTATGTAAAAGTACATAAGAGCATACTCAATTTGTTCATTTCTGTAAAGGATCGAGCAACACAGTGTTTTATGTAAGTACCCAATTTCCCCATTTTTAATGAACAAATACATACCAATACCTGCTAACACTGTGGGGTGGGGAGGGGAGAGTGATACATACCTAAGAAAATTAGTGACTTCAGTAATAAACACTTCTCTATCATTTATTTTCTTTTAAAAAAATGTATTAACATCTGAATATATTAATGCATGACCTTTAGATAATAAAGTATCAATTTTGGTCAATTTTGACAAATATATCAATGAAAGATGTTAATATAAAGAAATGTATGTGAAGGTATATGGGATGTCTCTGTACTATCTATCTTTGCAATAATAGATAAATTGAATTTTAAAATATCTTAATACAAAGATGGCAGGAATGGGGGAACAGGGAACAAATACCTTTTCTATCCTTCTTTACTGTGGGGCTTCAATAAACTGTTAGACTTACACATTATATCCTCTGTATCTCTTATTTGCTTATTTTTATTTTTGTTTCTCATTTGCATATTTATCACCTATTTTCCAGATCACTAATTCTTTCTTCAGTGATAATGTGCTTTTAAATACATTTATGTAATTAAATTTTTAAATCCAGTATTTCTCTTTGGTTCAAATTCATATTCATTTTATTTTACTTTATTTATTTTTTGAGACCGAGTCTCTCTTGCCCAGACTGGAGTGCAGTGGCGTGGTCAGCCCACTGCAACCTCCACCTCCCAGGCTCAAGCCATTCTCCTGTCTCAGTCTCCTAAGTAGCTGGCATTACAGGCACAAGCCTCTGCTGCCCAGCTAATTTTTTGTATTTTTAGTAGAGACAGGTTTCACCATGTTGGCCAGGCTGGTCTTGAACTCCTCACCTCAAATGATGCATCCACCTCGGTCTCCCAAAGTGTTGGATTACAGGCACGAGCCATCATGCCCCACCCATGTCCATCATTTTCGAAATGTTTTTTTTTTTTTTTTTTTGAGATGGAGTCTCTCTCTATGGCCCAGGCTGGAGTGCAGTGGTGTGATCTCGGCTCAATCCAATCTTAGCTTCCCGGGATTCAAGCAATTCTCCTGCCTCAGCCTCCCAAGTAACTGGTATTACAGGCATGTGCCAATATGCCAAGTTAATTTTTGTATTTTTAGTAGAGATGGGGTGTCACCATGTTGGCCAGGCTGGTCTCAAACTCCTGACCTCAAATGATCTGCCCACTTCGGCCTCCCAGAGTGCTGGGATTACAGGCATGAGCCACCGCACCCTGCCCATTTTAGAGATATTTTTATGGTAAAACAGGCATGCCATTAAATTTCCCATTTTAACCATTTTTAAGTGTACACTTCTGTATTAGCCCATGTTCACACTGCTGATAAAGACACACTCGAGACTGGGCAATTTACAAAAGAAAGAGGTTTAGTTAGACTTACAGTTCCACATAGCTGGGGAGGTCTCACAAACATGGTGGAAGGTGAAAGACGTGACTCACATGATAGCAGCAAGAGGGAGAACGAGAGCCAAGCAAAATGGGTTTCCCCTTATCAAACCATCACATCTCATGAGTGAATTTTACAAAAGGTTTGCTTTTCTGTCATGTATTTAATATACTTGGTATTTGTTTTGTGTGCAGTTATAAGGCAGGGATCTAAAATAACTATTTCTAGATGAATAGCTAATTATCTGTGAATCACTTATTGAACTGTCCTTATCCACACTAGTCTTCATGCCAGGTCACTCACCTACATTATTCATCTTTGAGCAACATAGTGTTGTGATGGAGAAGGCTACAGGCTATTCCATCCATCTATAAAGTTAGCATAAGAATGATAAAGAATACATAGACTACAGGTCACTCAATATTCTTATCAAGCTTATGCTTTTCTAGTAAGTTCACCTTTGCACAAAGTTTATTTCAAGCCATCTCCTCAAGCATTATTCTCCTCATTCCTCATTCTTAAATGATGATATAACCTTCTTCCTCCCAATGAATTGGAACCACCTCAGTTTACCACTAACCTACCTGAGCTTGCAACCATTCTCTCCTATCATCTTAGTATGGAAGGGTCACTCACTCTTCCACTTGTACCTTGGATCCCATCTCCTTTCTCATCAATCATATGCTGTCAACTGTTCATTCTCTTCCTGTGTCATCTACTGTCTCTCATGGATTCTTCCTGCTATCGTTTACACATTTACACATTACATATCTTTCCTATCTTAAAAGTTATCAGGCCACCAACCAAGCAAATAAACCATCCCTAAACTCCACTATTACTCTATTTCTCATTTTCTTTTATTCATAACTGACTTATTGAAGTTGGTCTACACATTCTCTATTTCCAGATATCCCATTTTCTTCTCATGCTCGTTCTCTTCGAAGTTTGTTTTTTATCACAAAGAGGTGCTGGATTTTGTCAAATGCTCTCTCTGCATATTTTGTCCTTTTTTCTGTTGATACAGATTTGGCTGATTTTTAAACTGATGCTCAGATGCATTCCTGGGATAAATCCCACTTGGTCATGGTGTAAAATCATTTTTTATATGTTACTGAATTCAGTTTACTAGTATTTTGTCAAGAATAACAGATATTCTGTAGTTTATGTTTCTTGTGATGTATTGTACTGATTTGGATATTTGGATATCAAAGTAATACTGGCCTCATGAAATGAGTTGGAAGGTGTTCCTCCCTCTTGTTTTGGGGAGGGGGAGAGTTTGTGAAGAACTGGTATTAGTTCATCGTTAATGTTTGGTAGAATTCACCAGTG